TTTGGCAGAACCAGGAATTGAATTCAGACCCTTGCGCTTGCCAGGGAAGCACTTATTCCACTGAGCCATCTCCCCGGCCCCAGGATTATGTATTTTAACATGTAAAAAGTAAGAAGTACTTAATCTTTTTTTTTTTTTTTTTTTTTTTCTGTAGTACCAGGGTCTGAACTTGGGACATTGTGCTTGCCAGGCACGCACTTATGGTGCTGAGCTATATCCCCAGCCCTAGAAGTACTTAATCTTAAGTGAAGGCACATTGCTATATTTTGCTAGCTTGATACAAACACCAAATGGTCTTTACTTTTACCATCTCTTTTCATTCTGGTGAAACATTGTCACAAACCAGCCTAAGGACAGGGATTATGTCTTGAACCACTCACTGCCCTCTCAGCCTGGTTTTCTGAGGCCAGCATGAAAATAAGACAAGAGTCCATGCTGGGGTTGGCTTAAATTAGTATGGCTTTTGATAGAGGGCATGTGTGTGTTTGGGTTTGCCATGCTGGGCAAGGGAATAGTGGAATTTGTATGAGTTGAGCTCACATATTGAAGCTATTGAGGGACTTACATGCAAGGCCATGACCTAGACTCCCAGCTGAGAGACCCACGTGGCAGGACTTGAGCTAGGGGAGCTGAGGACAGCTCACATCTGCTCATCTGTTTATGTAACCCTGCTTCCCAGATCCCAGAGCCAAGAAAACACACAAGCCAGCCCAGCAGGGCTGAGGGCTTGTGGTAGCACATCCCATGTGCCACACAGAAGGTTGCCATGGGCTAGCCTGAGGTCTGTCATGCAGCCCTCCACCTTTTGCATTCTCCTGCAGATATCCCTGGAGCTGTAGGCAGCGACTTTGAGACCTAGTAGTGGGTATGTATGATTCAGAACAGTGGTGATTGCTGCCCTCCTAGAGTGTGAGCTCTGGATTTTTTCACTGGGATGGGGTAGGTGTGCAGTAGATGTCAGTCCCTGTGTTGTGTCAGGAGGTGTGTAGGGCACTCTTGGAGGCCTTTGGTTGGTTCTAATCCCAAGAAGGCATTCACCTCCAGATCTTGTGCTGGCAGATGCACTCCAATCTTAGTGGTATGAACTTCAAGATTCCCAGAGTTGTAGAGGTTGTACATAGAAGATGGCAAAATATTGTCAAGTTGAGCAAAAAAGGCAGGACTAGAGGTCAGGTATGCTCAGTGTGTTGGAGGCATGATGGGGGCTGGGAGAAACAGGAGAGGGAGAAGAAGCTGCTTAGTGCTTAGGCTGTGCACAGAGCCATAGGAGGAGCAATGTGAGCCAGGGTGGTTTTCATTTAGGTTCTGCTGCATGTTCAGCATAGACCACAAGGAGGCAGGAACTGTCTTGCCCACCTTTCCTCCCTCAACCCAAACCTCTTGTGCTGGCAGACTGGGTTGTCAGTTGGTACCACAGAAAGTATTGATTGCAACAGATTGAGAGTAGTCTTGATACATAATAGGAAGTGTTTGCATTAGACAAACATTTTACAGTAAAAACCCTGACTTTGAATCTGGTAGGCTTACAGGGACTGTCAGCATGCTATTAATGTGTGTGTGTGTATGTGTGTGTGTGTGTGTGTGTGTGTGTGTGTCTACCTCAGGACCTCTTTTCTGCAGCCTGTGTGATAAGCATACTTGGATGCTTTCCAGCCTGCAGGTATCTGTTCTGGGCAGGCGGGGCAGGCCACATGGAGAATGCTGGTCTTCTGGGTTAGTTTCAGAAGGTATGCGCTAGTCTTAGGGTAATAGTCCAGATGCATCTTGGGTTCCTGAAATTGAGTTTATGTTTAGTAATGTCTTCAAAACAAAAGACAGGCTGGGCTGCAGATGTTGAGGGGCCCTCTGAAGTGAGAAGGGCTTAGTGATGAGCCTTCTAGTCTTTTGTTTTTCTTCTTTCTCCTTTTATCTCTTCTTGTTTTTCATGAGTTCGTTTAACCATTGGGCTTCCTGGAGGTCTTTGCCAGGGTGGGAAATTGAACAGACTAGGCCAGATGGATCTTGTGGAAAAGATGGAAATGGTGGGAATTCCTGAGGCCCTTCATTACCTGAAAGTCTCAAGCCTTGAGAAAATGAGCCCTCCAGCTCCCTATTGCCTGTTTGCCTGGTTAGAATCCTCTATGCTAGTGGTAGTGAACTTATAGCATGGGTGCTGCAGTGATCTGTTTGTAACATGGAAAGCTCTGATTGTCAGCTCACTAACTAGGCCTTATTAATTATCCATGTAAGTCCTTCCCAAGATCTGCTGAGTTTAACTGTCTAGGGGAGGGGCCTGTGTGTCTATATTCCAGTTGCCCTAGGAGATTCTGATGATAGATGTGGGGAAAACTGGTCTAGGGTGATCACTAACTCAGTCATGGATCCTAGTGCCTGCTCCCCTGAGGGCATCCTGGGAGACTGGAGCTGAGTCAGCAGCAGTGGGCCCATGGGAAACTAATCTTCCAGGCCACAACTAGGGAGGAAGCAAGACTTTTAAGTTTTGAGGATCTTCTCTGCCTTGGAGATGTACTGCCTGAATTCTGTGGTAATGAAGAGTAAAAGGGCAAATCCCAGTTGAGGCTTGTGTGTCAGTGCAAAAGTTTGCTGGTTCAGGAGATGAACAAGGACATTTCTAGCAAAGGGAAGGTAGACATAAGTGACATGGGCATGATTTCTAGGAGTGGAGACAGGCAGGTAGATGCTGGAGGGCATTGTCATCTAGCTGAGGTATTTGGTCTTCCCTTGTATAAGACAGGCCGTGGGATGATTTTAGTGGGAAAGTGATCTGATCAGAGCTGTGTCTCAGAAGAAAATGAACTAATGGAAACAGGTCCTGTGGTGATGGAACTGTATTATTGGTGGTGGGGAAAGGCTGTGGTGTGGCGTGAGGTGTGTTCTGAGGAAGGAAGGAGGTGGCACTGCTGTCAGGAAGGAGGAGGCTGATGGTTTCTCTTTTTTAGGCACTTTCATTTGAGGAGGGTGAGTGATTCCTGGGCACATGGAGTGCATAGTGAGCGAGCCATGTGCTTTTGCTCAGTGGGACAAACTTAGTCTGTAGGCAGGATCTGGGCAGGGGTTGGTGGATTTCTCCACCTGGTGTTTCAGGTGAACTTTGGTCTGAGATTGTGGTTAATGTGTCCATTTGTTCTATAGGTTCTTTTGGTCTAATGGCTAGTTGGCTTCACAGGTGAATCTGGCTACACTATAGTACCAGTTTCCAAAATGTGTTCTCTGACAAAATAATTCTGTGGTCAAGTAGGTTTAGGAAATAGTTTATAAAGTGAAAGAGCCTTGTGAACTGCACAGTTTCTCAGAGCCTTTGGTGTACATTATGCTTTTGCAGAAGCAGGATTTAGCATGGGTCAACCCAGGACTTGACTAGGGTTGTGATTTTCTACCAGCATCTTTCTGGGTCTAATGTTCCCAGGAACCCTTTTTTAAAAAGTCTGAAGAGCAGGGAATATTGTGAGTCTCAATTTAACTCTTGCTTCTGTCCTCATTCCCTTTTTGTGCCTGGATGATACTCTGTACACCGCATGCCCTGTGAGGGAGTTTGACCTTATCCTTCTTCCTCTACTCCTAACCTGCTGCTACCTGAACATCTTCCACCTCATCCGTTTTTCTTCTGAGCCAGGAATTCTCTGACTTAATGTCTTTCTGATCTGAATCCATGTTCTTCCAGGCCAGAAACTTTGAATTCTCTGACCTTTCTATATCCTGTTGGTTACTGTTACTCCTACAGTTATTAAGCATTGTTTGATGTTCTTCCCAACAGTTTCTTTTCTTTCTCTTCTAATGTCCATTGCCTCCATCCCTTCCCATTGAGTTTGGCTCACCTCTACATCAGCTGTTGTGCTGCAGTACATTCTAGCATGAAGCCGATTTTCTCCACACTGACCTACATACACACCTTTTTCCAGTTAGAATAGTTCAGCCCTTTGTTCAAGACCACAATTGGAAGCTGGCAGAGGTAAGTCTCAACCTAAGGATTTCTGAGAAAGTCCTTTGTCGTCTCTGATCACTCAACCTTATACCAGCCTGTCAGGAAGACTGAGCAGGAATTATTTCTGTTTCACAGTGGAGTCAGAGTGGGGAGGGGGTCCTGGGCAGGGAGGGTAATCAACCACCTGGGTTTGCTAGCACTGAGGTGGTTCCTGGGATGCAGGAGTCCTTAGCAATCAGGGATTTCCTGAGTTTGTTATCCTGCTGCTAGCCTGGGTGAGCATCCTTCGATGCCCACGCGGTTCGCTGAAAGGAGATATTCCTCTCCAGTTGTGGCCTGGCCATCTGACATAGTCTGTAGAGTATGCATCCTATGGCTTCCTAACGTCTCCTTTCCTTCACCTCTCTAGTTGGCCCCATGCAGATCGAATTTAACATTCCTGTGGACCTGGAACATTTGGCAAAGCAGAACCCAGAGATAAAGATGGGTGGCCGTTATACTCCCAAGGACTGCGTCTCTCCTCACAAGGTGGCCATCATTATCCCATTCCGCAACAGGCAGGAACACCTCAAGTATTGGCTGTATTACTTGCACCCAATTCTGCAACGCCAGCAGTTGGACTATGGTATCTATGTTGTCAACCAGGTGAGGTTTGGGAAGATGGTGTGAAGGGGAGGGAGGATATATGTGTGCAAATATGTGTGTAATGAGTGCCAAGGGAGGGGAGTGACATTGTTGACTTGGTGTTGAGTGAGCAGCTGGCTGTACTACCACTACCATCCTTTTTTAAACAGTGCAGTTAAATTAAATGCCAATCAATGTGCTTGCTTATTGCTATCAGCTCTGTTAGTCAAAGGAAATTGCTGTGTGTGTGTGTGTTTATACTTTGGAAGTACTTTCCAGCAAAATTGAGAGAAAAAGCCAACGCTAATTATCTCAACATAAAACACTGATTATTTCCTATATCTGGATAGACTTGGATTTCCCTTTTCCTTTTTGTTTTTATTTTTATTTATTTTTTTTTAAAAAAAATTATTTTATTTATTTGTGTGTGTGGCCAGCTCAGCCCACCTGGGAGCGGGGCTGGCTGGTATGTGGTGCTGGGGGATTGAACCATGGTCCCTGTGCTTTGCTAAGCTTGTTCTAAGTAGGTGCTTTAGACCACTGAGCTATCTCACCAGCCCTACTTTTTGTTTTTAATTTTATGTATTTTGTACAGGGTCTACAAGATGTTTAGGGTCTCACTCTGTGGATTGGACTCATAGTGATCTTCCTGTTTTCAGCCTCCCAAGTGCTGGGATTACAGGCATGTGCCACCATGCCCAGTCTCAGTTGCCATCTGATTGCACCCTGGGGGTGGAGCTGGCATGGCATGCCAGGGATCAAACCCCAGCCATTGCACTCTGCCTAAGCAGGCACTTTAGTCTGCTGAGCTATCTAGCTGGCCCTCCCTTTTTACCTTGAAAAATAAATTTCCCTTTGGATTTCACAATTTTAGGCAATTTCAAAATTTATCTAGTTATAGGTTTCTTTTTTGAGGAGAAGGGTGGTACCAGGAGTTGAACTCAGGATCTTGTGCTTGCAAGGCAGACGCTGCCCCACTGGCCCCTCATCATAGTATTTTCTGAGGTACCCACAGAAGACAATGTGCTGAGTTGCGTTTGTGTGCTAGTCCCTGGTGAAGTGTCTGAGAAAGTCTGCTTCCAGACCATCTGAGAGACATGTGGACTGGGTGGGTCTAAAACAAATTTCTCACTATTGATAGGATCCATATGTGTTTTAATCTTCAGACCTGTTTAGAACACTAATGCTGAAGACAGGTCAGCCTCATCACCAAGTCCCAAGAATCAGGTTGATCTATGACATTTTTATTTTTTTGCAGAAATGGGGATTGAACTCAGGTCCTTGCGTTTGCCAGGGAAGCGCTTATTCCACTGAGCCATCTCCCCGGCCCCTACAATGACATTTTTAAAGAGACAGAGTATGCTTATGTATATAAAGCCCAGAGTCCATTTCATTTCAAGATAAATACCAGGTCTGCTTCAGATAGTAAGATTGTTGGCAGCTTACTACTTCTGTCAGTGTTCAGTGGCTTTGTGCATTTTCCCTTGGACCACAAGGGAAAGTGGACTGGCAGTGTGTCCAACCAGTGTTTCTGAGGACTGCTGTGCATTGGACTATGTCATTTATGAAAGGTGATTCTGAAGAAGGGTAGGTCTCACTTCTACCTGTCCTGGAGCTCCAACACACTTTGGCAAGCGAGACTTTTCCCAGGCAACACTTTTGTTAGCAGTCCCAAATAGCATGTGATTTAATGGTGGCTGTGAAATGCTTTGGAACTGAGGAGGAGAAAGCATCCTGGAAGAACTAGGTTATAAACTAGGTTCTAAAGATTGGTGGGGGAGATGGGCCTCTCATCTGGGCCAGTGAATGGGGCTGTGGGAGAAGAAAGGATCCTGCTGCATGTTCTTGGAGATGGAAATGGCTAGTGCTGGAGGAGGAGAGCACCATAGGCCCTGGATCAGGTACTGGAGCTGAGGGGGCCAGGGAGATGGCTCAGTAAAATAAACGTATCCCTGGCAAGCACAAGGGCCTGAGTTCAATCCCCAGTTCTGCCTAAATAAATAAATAAATAAATGTGTTGGGACTGAGCCTGACAGCCAGACAAAGAGAGAACAGACCTTGTTGCAAAGTAATGGAGCTCAGCTAGAAAGTAGTGGGGAGAAAGTAGTGGTGAGGCTGTTAGCCAAGCGAAGTATAGGTCAGGGTCCTGTGAACACTTGCAAGCCAAAAAGTTATGCCTTGTCATTCACCTTAGGAGAATATTGGAGAATGAAAGACAGGTAAAGACCCTACCAATGCAGGTCACTTCAACAAGTATTATTTAAGAAAAGCCTTGTCATTGGGAAACATTTGTTTAGTGCCATTAAGCTTATATGGATCCTGAAAGAATCAGGTGCCTGTTTTATTAAAGCAATGCTGCTGAGCACATAGAAGAGGAAACCACTGTCACCAGGGCCTGGCAGGGATTACAAAGGACAGCCCATGCCAGCTGCATGTGATGGTTATTATGTTAGTAACTAGGTAATATGCTATAAGCCCCACATTGTCAGATCTGGTATCTCCCTCCCCATCTGCCAGAGCAGAAGATAGAGCACAACTGTGCTCTGCTTGGCATACAGTTATTAAAATGTATTTGATAAAAAGAGTGAAAGAAACTGGATTCCATTCTGCAATAGGATCTCCTATAATCTCAGCAGAAGACAGGAGGATCATAAGTTCAAGCCCAGCTTGGGCAACTTAGTGAGACTCTGACTAAAAATAAAGCCAGCAGGGTGTATGTGTGGGGGTTGTAGCGAAGTGCCAAAGCCATGTGTTCAGTCCCCAGTTCTAGGGGCTTAATGTGGGTAGGGGAGTAAAAGGGTGATGATGCTGAAATTTTGCCCCTTCCTCCCCCTGCCAATTAAGAAAGACTGGAAAGGTTAATTTATAGCTATGTTGAATTGTAGGTGAATATGAGACTTCCTTATTTAGGAAGTCAAAACAAATATTGGGCCAGTAAAATTTAGAGATTAAATTTCTATAATATAATTTATACAGATAGCTCCTAGGCTTAAAAGAACAGAATTCTGAATGTCTTATATTGGTCACACAGCAAACACATAACCAAGCCAGCTTGGATCAGTGACACCACTGGGCTGGTGAACACTAGACACTGCTTCAGAGCTGCACCCCTGACCCCTACTTTGAGATTCGAGCAAAGGAATGCTAAAATAAGAGTGGCCTCTGAGACTTTCATCCAGGGGCTTTTAGATATGTTTGAGGAACACATATTTCATTCTCACAGCGCCTTCAGTGAACCGGGGCACCCTGACCTGCTGAAGAGTTTCCTAGCTTGTTGAACCAGAGACTTTTCTAAGAATCATCTCAAGTGATGAATGACTGTGAATCACACTTTTGGAACATAGTCCTAAATTAACACTACCTCCCTCCTTCCCCCTTACTTTTTTTGTTTGTTTGTTTTGCTTTGTAGTGCTGGGGATTGAACCCTTGGGCTTGTGCATGCAAGGCAAGAGCTGTACCACTGGCCGGGGAGATGGCTCAGTGGAATAAGTGCTTGCCTGGCAAGTGAGGGGCCTGAGTTCAATCCTCAGTTCCACCAAAAAAAAAAAAAAAAAAAGTATAAAGTATATAGCATTTGTGCTCGCTTTGGCAGCACATATACTAAAATTGGAACGATACAGAGAAGATTAGCATGGCCCCTGTGCAAGGATGACACACAAACTCATGAAGCATTCCATATTTAAAAAAAAAAAAAAAAAAAAAAAAAAAAAAGCTGTACCACTGAGCTAAGAGGAGAGAACAGACCTTATTGCAAAGTATTGGAGCTCAGTTAGAAAGTAGTGGGGAGTAAGTAGTGGTGAGGCTGTTAGCCAAGTGGGTCCTATAAACTCTTGCAAGCCAGAAAGTTATGCCTTGTGGTTCCCCAGCCCCTTCCTTGTTTTTTTTGTGGGGTACTAGAAGCTTCCTTTTCTCCTCACTCCCTCTCTTTTTTCGCTTGCAACTCAGCATCTGAAATATTTTATTTTTAGGACCTGGGAGCATAGGTCAGTGCTAGAGTGCTTCCCTAACGTAATGCGGTCCTGGGTTTGATCCTCAGTACCAGCTAATCAGTCAATCAATCAATCAATAAGTCAAATAAAATATCAAACATATATACATCCATTTTTCCCCTAAGTTTGTGTCATTTCCTCCTTCTTCCAAACCTGTTTTTTCTTTTTATTTTCTTTTTCTACTGTTAACTTTCTACCATAGGTGAATCTTTTTCTTCTTCTTCCTGAGCTTATTTTATACTTTCTATTCCAACCTCCCCCGAATTATCCCTTTGGAAAATAGAGCCAGAGTCTAGCTAAGCCATTCAGGAAGTAGCTTGAAGTTTGCTCTGCTTTTCCAGTAAAGAGTATTACTTAATACATGTGAAGTGGTTCCAGGAACTTGAACCTTGTGGGGCATGGGGGATTGCCCCTTCTAAAGCTCACTCGTTTACAGATTTGGAATTTCCTGTCTTTTGTGCTTTATGGTTATAGTCTAGATGAGGAAGACAGAGATAGCCTAATGTCTACTTTCGACTTTTGCATATTATTCATTAAGCAAACAAACCTTATGGGCTATTAAGCCTCATTAGAACCTCTCATTTCTTCCTGTCCCAAACATCCTGTGCATTCACTGCCACTGCTTTATCTGAGATTAGAGAGAAAGATGGTGGTGGTCTCTGAGACCGAGACATCTGGTCTGGGTTACCTAAACAGGTTTTTCAGTAACAGATCTTTTCCTGCCCCATTGAAATGTTACATAATCCCCTATTTACAGCAGGTCTCAGTGCTGTTTTCTGTGTCCCATCTCCATCTCCTTAGCATCCCCTCAGTGTTTGCCCAGACTTCAGAGGCCAGACAGTGAAAGTTTCTGCTCTGTGTCACAAGGAGGGAACAGGCTCAAAGGGGGAGCAAGGCCAGTAGAGAATCACATCATGTGCAGTAGTTCTGCAGCTCAACCACCAGCCCATGACTCCCGAGTTCAGTGTTCTTTCCCTCAGCAGCAGTTGCTTTCTTGGAGGTTGTTTAGCCTCTGCCTGGGGTGTTTGTCAAAGCCTGGTGTCCAAGGCTTCAGTGATCTCCATGCTCCCATCACCTGGGTTCGGCCCTGGCTCTGCCACTTCCCATGCAGTGACCTCGAGCAAGGGACTGAAGCTCTGCAGACCTCACTTGCCTCTGAGTAGGAAGGGCAGGGGGCTGGTATCTGCCTCATAGGGTGCTAGAGCACCTGGCAAGTGATAAGCCTTTAGTAAATATTAGCAGTTACTGCTAGGATTTGCGTCTTTCCTGTCTACCCTCTGTTGTTCCTCCCTGGCACCAGACTGATGAATTCTTTACCACTTTCTCTGCCTTCTGCTTCACCCAGTTTCAGTACCAACATCAGGACCCTTCTTCCCATTTGTAGTGGCATTCATGGAGTCAAAGGGTACTGGCTGAGCCAGATCAGAAAGCTCAGAGGACTGATACACAAATGTCATCAGAGGAGGCTTATCTTTCAAGCCACACATACAGGAGTGAACTTTTGTAAGCTTTATGGCTTATATTTCTGTGCATAGGAAGATGTTAATTCATTGTTTGGTGTGGGACCCTCCAAACACCATGAAAGTGATCTCGAAGTAAGTGTATTGCAGGGTGGGTGAGAGGGCCTTTACCAGTCAGGATGGGTAAGAGCAAGCTGGGTTTTGGTCTTCAGGGTCTCCATCCCTCCTGCTTTAGCAGGAGAACTCATTTGGGTCCCAGAACATTCTGCTTTTGGAGCCAAGGGTCTGTTCTGAAACACGGGCATCTTACCTTAAGTTTCCCTGAGGTCTTGGTCTGGAGGTGGATGTCAAGTACTAACAGGGAATGCGTACTGTACTCCCTCATAGTTGGTGAGCAGGGAGTGTACATTGTACTGTCTCATAGTAGTCAGGAATGGAAGCTATCAAACCCAAAGTTAAAGGAAGGCAGGTTGTCACCTGTTAGCACTAGCCCAGAAAAAGAAACGCAGGTATAGTATTAACCATCATAAAAATTACAGGATGAGTAAGGAATGCAACCACAGTTGGCCAAGTAGCTATGTCATAGCCATGGCAGCCCTTTGCTGCAGAGATCCCAGTTCTGTCGATGTACCTCCTGGTCTCCTTACTCAGCTGTTCAAGTTCTTTCTGGTTCTCATGATAGCATTCCCTCTTTTTAAATCTCTTAACATTTCACTAGCCAAGGGGCTAAATGATCTGAAGGCTGACTTGGCATCTGAACATTGTGCCTGGCCCTGATCTACCTGCAGCCACTTCCTTCTCTTCCCCCTTCACACAGTGTGTGCCATAGCCACACTGACCCCTTATCTCCTCCCAGATACTTGTCCTCCTCTTCTCCTCCCCTTGCTTATGCTGTTCTCTCTGTATGTCTGCCTCCCTTAGTAACTGGACATCTTTTAATTCCCGCCATGCGCAACCATACCTCATTAGCGCTGTAGCCTGGTGCTGACCTCTCCCTGGCTGTAGCTCCCAGGCCACTCGGCACTTTCTAGCAAGGGCTGCATATCTGTGCTTGTCCTGACCAAGTCTCCACTGGACCATGCAGCTCATCCACAGTTCAGTGCAGACTTGGTCAGGATTTTGAACACGCAGTGTCTTTCTGTGACTTTTGTCCACTTAATTATACCCACTGTCAGGACCTCTCACTCCCAGGCCTCTGGCTGGGTCTGTACCTCTTGAAAATGAAGCCTTTTCCAGCCTGGCCAGATCATGACCCTTGACAACCTGCATAGCCCCTGCCTGGGCCTCCCTGGGCAGCCAAAGCTGCACATTGCTGACCAGGGCACAACTGCACTGCCTGTGACACTGCCATCAGGGTGACCTCCCTTTCCAGGAAAAATGCAGACAACAATTTTAGCCCTGTGGTTGTTCATGATCATCAAATTCATTCATGGTCTTGAATTCTGGCCACCACAATCCTCCATGGGGTGAATGGGTCTTTTCATAGAGGGAAGATTGCAGGAGAGAGCACATGGGTGGCTGGTAGCAGGGCTGGAATTTGGATAGAGGCCACCTGGGGCCTAAGGAATGCCCCGCCTTGCCATCTTTATTCTCAGAACACCTCACATATACTTGGCAATGTGGTGAGTCTCCTACATTACAAGAAAGGAAGCAGCAGCTTTTGAGTATAGTCCCTGTACCCCTGGGAGCCCTGCCTGCTTGAGAGTCTACCCTGACTCACACCCTTCCCCAGGACAGACCCTAGCCTGAAGGGCTGTGGGGAAATGGAGGGAAGGCCCAGCTTGCTGCATTCAGGAATTTTTGTCTGACTTTGAAACGTCTTCTGTCTCCGTTTCATCTGTGCCTTGTTTAGGACAATAGAGTCAGGCTGTTTGTAAGTCGATTTGGAGAAGCTTTTTGTACCTCAGTGAGTGAGAGCATCTGTCCCTGGTCCACGTAGCTGGTTCCTACATGAGGTCAAGATTGTTGGGGTGAAGCAGACCCATGGATCTACCCCATCAGCAAGGACAGCTGCAGGGCTTGTGCCCCCTGCCAGTCTGGTTTCTGTCTTGGCCATCTGTGTGCCAACGCCGTCCCTGCTTCCATTTCCATCTGCCCATGCTCAGATGGACATGTGTTGGGATGGGGCATGGAGGGATAGGGCTGCTGTGTTGTGTGGTCTCCCTGGTTCCTCTCCCTAAAGGTGCACATTGTTGATCAGGGCACACACAGGCTGTCCGTGATGCCACCCTCAGGATACCTTGCCTTGCCAGGAAAAGTGCAGGCAATCTACTTTAGCTCTGTGGTTGTTCATGATCTTTAAACTTGGAGAGGGCTGGCATGGGAGGCCTGGGAATGTCTGTGTCTCCACTAAGTGCTTCTCTGTTCTTTGTCTTCCCCTCCCTGGCCATGTTTCTTTGTTCTTCTGGGGAATGTGTTGAAGCACTTAACTGGTACTCATATTGCTGGTAAATTGCCTCCCTGGACATTGTTCTGGGAAATGGTGTTCCCTCTGCTCACCTTTGACTCTGTAATAAGGAATCACAGCTTATTAGGACTTGGCTTTCGCCTTGGAACAAGGGTGGTTAGAATGAGTCCCTCTTCCTGTACACCCTTGATATTTACCTCTCTTTCCCCTACTGCTCTTCCATCCTTTTTTTTTTTTTTCTTTTTTCTTTTTTTCCCTTCTAGTGGGGGCCTTTTGCCTTTACTTGTTAATCCTGTTTGTAGCAAAGAAAGCTGAAGGAGGAATTCCTCTCTGTGATCTGCTTCTTACTCTACACCTACCTTCTCTTCTATATTCTCCGCCTCCTATAAAGAATGAAAGAGGGAGGAAGGCCGACCAAACTGCTGCTGCTACCCTAACTACCACCACCACTGCTGCCGCCACCGCTGCTACCACCACTACCTTGGTAATGTCCTCAAATGAAACCCAGAGCTGAGGCCCTGCTGGTCAGGGAAAGCTGTGTGGATAATCCTGTGAGTGCACTACCTCCTACTCTGGAGTCTCCCTGACAAGGGCAGGCCTCTTTGGCTTCCCTGGAAACACTGAGATTGCTGGAAGCCAACTCATTGTACAGAGATCTGTGAGATTTTGCTTTCTCTAAATTAAACCACACCTGAACTCATACTGTATATATACAAATGTTTATGTCTTTTTAAAAAATTCCATACCATCAGCATCTTCCCATTTTATTTCATATTCTTCATAGTCATCAATTTCCATGTCTTCATAGTTGTTGGTCAGAGTTCTGCCAGAATAAGCTTTTCCTTTAATGGAAGACTAAAATGAATATCCTTGAGTCTGAAGAATACTATGCATTGGCCTCTTCCACATTTAGTGTCATTTCCTCAGGCTGAGTTTTCAAGTGTGAGATTATAGGTTCAGAAACAGTTTCTCCATTTTTATATTTCTCAATGCAAATGACAAAATTGCTTTCTGAAAGAGAAGCCTTTATCTGCTGAAGTACTTTTCTCCAACATGTATTTTAAACATCCTGATGATGCTTACTGCGACCATCTTGATGTATTCTGTAGAAAGCAGAAAAATACTAGTGCCTCTGGCCCAGAGAAAGAGCTATCCTGCTTGGCTCCAATAGAGCTGGGTGTAAAATTGTTGTCTGTATACATTTTGCACACTTGGTATAGAAAAGCAAGCCCAGGGTATTGCCAGCAGATGTTGCCACCAGCTTCAGACCTGCCATGGATCCCTGGTGTCAAGAGCTTGGAGTAACTGTGGTGAAAGTGGCTTTTTGAGGATCGGAGCATGTGTATGGGAGCAATAGCATTTCTCCCATCACATAGAAATTCTGATTCATTACAAATCTTGGCAGCAGCTACATTGCTACTGTATCTTTTGGTGGGAGCAAGGTTGGATATGGTCTGACCCCAAGCTGTTGTTGTCTAAGGATATGCTTGCTGGTCATGCCCAAGAGCCTGCCATCTGGGGAAGGAAGGTTGGTTGGACAGAGCAGATCTTCTAGAGAATGTTAGGGGGCAATGGTCTTCAGTGGTTGGTCATCATCTGTCCCCTGGTGCGGTCAGAGGAAGGTCACTCTTGCCTTTCTTACACAGTCATTGTTTTTCAGATTAGACCAGACTTGGGTGCCTTTGCTGAGTCCCTCAACAGAGACAGCCTGCAAATGCAGTGTGTCTGCCCAGGGAGCAGGTGAGGGCATGAAGGAGGAAGTGGAACCTTGGCCCTGTGCCCCTTGGGAGACATCCTCTGCTTAGCCATTATTATTGGCCAGGCTCCCATGTCTTATGGGATCACACAGCAGCTTCCTAACTGCTCTCCTTGCCTTAATTTGGATTAAAGCACAAATCCCTCCTTGACATGCATCCATGCTTTAAGATTCTCTGTGGCCTAAAAAAGATAAGAGCCCAAGTGTCTCAGCAGGTGCCCAGCCCTCCTCTGCCCCTGTGATGTGCTCCTCACCCCTTTTCAGGTCTCATTCTGACCTCACACATTCCTAGTTTCTTGCATGTTGTCTTTTCAGCAACTTTGATGCATGCTTTTACCATGCGGAGCCTTTGTCTACGCCTTGAACTGTCTTCTCCCCACACCACTGTGCTCAGAGTTTGTCTGTTCTACCTACTCATTTGGGGATTTTTAGATATGTTTTGTCCTTCTTTCTTCCTGTTTTCCTCTAAAAGCAGCCAGTTGCCCTAAAATTTGGCAAGGGATACCAAGGCTTCTTGTCCACCAGTATAAGCTGAAGCCCACCTTTAATAATTTGGTCTTTCAGCTGGGTGTAGTGACACATGCCTGTAATCCCAAAACTTGGGAGGCTAGGCAGGAAGCTTGCCACAAGTTCAAGGCCAGGGCCAGGGAGATGGCTCAGTAGAATAAGTGCTTCCCTGGCAAGCACAAGGGCCTGAGTTTAAATCCCCGGTTCTGCCAAAAAAAACCCCAAGTTCAAGTCCAGCCTAAATTACAGTGCAAGACCTTGTCTCAAAAACAAAAACAAAAACAAACTGGGGAGGGGGGTCTTTCAAAGGCTCACTTGCTCCTAATGTACTGGATCTTCTTCATCAATTGTACTCTCCCCTGCATTTCACAGGCTTCCATAGGTTTCTTTCCTCTGCTGCTGGAGATTAATCACAGGCTAATTCACTTAAGTCTTAATCCTTTTTAGAAATTCTCCTTCCATTAGAGAAGGGATTTGGGGGAGGAATCTTGAAGCTGATTGGGAGAGACAATATGCAAATACTGGAGAAGGTAGGTTTTCCAGTTCAATTCCTGAGGAGTATTTTGAAAGGGCTGATAATTCGGGGTGGATGAACACCTATTCCTGTGCCCTTGGTAGTAGCTCGCTTGTCACCAGGCAGTGTGCTAAAGTCTTTTCATACATTGCTTCATTTAACAACCCAGCTGGTATCATTCTCATGACACAAAGCAGGAAACAGTCTTAGAGGTGGGATTTGCCCAAAGTTACCTCACTGATTGGTGCAGAGGTCAGCATTCTTGGGATAAAAATGTATGTGTCTATTATCGTTATTCATTTGACACAGCCTGAGAGTAGATGCTCATTAAATGTTCTTGAGTGAATGAAGGAGCAGATGCATTAGATGAGTAGTGGTGAACCTGTGGGCCTTGCGCTGTGGCAGGCATGCAAAACCCTCTCTGTCAGCACACAAGCCATGTTGCCCCAACAGCCCCACATCAGCTAACAGTTGTTTCTTCCTAAGCTAAAACCTCACCACTCAGGTTTAGTTGCAGTGTTGGCACTGTGCAATAAGTGTGCTTTGGGTTGTAGTCTGGGCACTAAAAGGTCACTATAATGAATGTGGCTGTAGAAGAGGAGCAAGATGGGAAGGACGAGTACTTCCTGTAGTGGAAGGTAGTGTGGGACTTGCTAGGCCTTTCTGCTTATCAGGAAAGGTGAGTACCCACACAGTTTGTCCAGAGAGGCCTAGAAAATGTTTTCTAGGAAGAGGAAGTGTGGTGTTCCTAGGGGCCATGGTAGTTGGTGACACCTGCCCTTGTGCACTATGCACTTTGCCTCTAGGGAAGGTAGAAGCTATAGGCAGTGTAGTTCAGGTTATTTGGAAAATTGTCTTTCCACTTCTAAGTGTGGTTCAGACACTGGGGAAGTTGGAAGGGGTTGGGAAACAAGGGTGAAGTAGGCCTACTTAGGCTTTTCTAGCTGCCATCGTTCCTGGGTCCTTGGCTTGAGACCAACGGGCTCATTCATGATTCCAAATTTCCAGTTTGTGGGAGGAGGAGATTGCTTAATTCAATCTTAGGCATTTGCTGAGACCAAACAGAGATGGCCACCAAGTTTGGGGCCCTGCCCCAGTTCATGGGGTACATACCAAGCAAAGGGGAATGGTCATGAGCTGGGCAGCCAGCCACCCTTGGGGTGTTCTACTGTATGTGAACAAAAGGCATTATGAGAATATTCCCTTTTATTTGTTAGAAAAATGGTCAGGGAGCTTTGTGTTAGGAATATTAAGCCTGGGTTGGCATGAGGATTATGAAAAAATTATCCAGATGATTGGTATGCCATGGTTGTAGAAACACCTGGCCCATGCCTCATATTCACATGACAACCCCTAGTAGATAATAGCTATTTGTTGTTACAATAATAATTCCCTGGGGCCAGGGAGATGGCACAGTGGAATAAGCACTTGCCTGGCAAGCACAAGGGCCTGAGTTTAATCCCCAGTTCCACCAAAAAAAACAAACCAAACCAAAACAAAACAAAATTCCAATATCTTCATAGATTTCATATGTAATTTTTAAACTTTCAACTTCTTTTTGACCCCTGACTTACATGGAATTAGCCAAACTCAGCATTCCAAATCTACTCTTAACTGGCTCAACAGCCAAAGAACACAATGTGCCTTTGGGTGCAGCCTTCACCTTTCACCATGCATGGTTAGAAAGCGTTGTCACAGACTGAAGAAAGGCGCTCTTGTGTGCATAATGTTTCCTTAATTCATTTACTATTCTCCTGGCTGCTTTTTCTGACTTCCTGGTACTGATCTTAGTAGTTTGTTTCTGAGTCATCCACCTGAGGCCAAGCAGCAGTCTATATATGTGCACTCTGTACACACACAGGCAGTATTGTGAACTTCAGGGCTTCAGATTTTCTTTTGGGGATGTGGAAAGGGGATTTTGCACATTCCAGTTCTGAGATTATGGATGGATTACAGGGCTCATGGGCCACTTTCTCCTCGAAGTAAATGAGCCTGATCCTAGCAGGGTGTGGTGGCACATACCTATAATCTCAGCACTTTGGAGTCAGAGGCAGGATCATCTCTGTGAGTTTAAGGCCAGCCTGGGCTGCATAAGTGAGTTCAAGGATAGTCTGTGCTGCATAGTGAGACCGTGTTTCACAAAAAAAAAAAAAAAAGAAAAAAAAGTCCCAAAGATCCCATCCCAAGAGATGTAGGAAAGAGCAGCAAGTTTGGATTCCAAAGTGTGAGCCTTCCTTTCCTCACAAGGGTGGTGTGAGGTTGGCATGAACAGCGAGATGTAAGGGATGACAGTATCAGAGTTAGGGCCATCCCTACTAACCCAGGATAATAGGTCTTCATAGGAGCAAACCCTCCCCACAATGTGAGAATCCCTAGGAGTACACTCTAGTTAGGTTTTTGAGAAGTGGTTGCCATTTATCATTGTATGTTGAAACCTACTTATCAGTTCATTTGTTCATTCATTTGTTCATTCATGCATTCATTCATTCATTCATTCATTCAGCCAGCAACTTAATTGAGCTCTTATTACATGATAGTAGGGCACAGGGTAAATTAAAAACAAAAAAAGATCTCAGCCTTCATTAAGCTTACATTCTTGTAGGGTATACCAAAAAGAAACAAGGTAAGTTAAAAAAAAAAAAAGGAAATGCCTTTACCTGTATGTGTGGTGCTTTGGGCCCTAGTGCCCAGGACCTTAAAGCAAGTACTTTCCCTCTCATGTATCCTTATTCTGTCATGATTGTATCAAACTGACTCCTACCCTATTCTGTGAGCACATGAAGGCAGAGATTGAGTTAGGTTTGCTGTAATTCTCTGGCACCTAGTTTAGTGCCAGACAGACACGTGGAAGTCACACTGTGTGGTAATATAACCATAGTCAACTCTATAAAGAGGGTAAAAATGAAAAGTCCATAAGCATCCAGCCATCACCAGTTTCCTGTGTATCTTTCCTAGAGTTAGTCACCAGTAAATGGAAAAAAAAAAAAAAATACATGACACATCTTTAAATGTTTTTTTCATCTTTGAAGAGTTTCTTTGTTTTCTTTAACATCTCTGTTATTGCATTTTAATAGCTATGGCATGACTATTTAACAAGTTCCCTAGTGATGCTTATATTGAGACTTGCATCTTCTGTGATGCACACCTTATAGTGAATATTATTTACAGTTATTCACACAGGTACAAGTCTTTCAATATAGGAAAGGCTACTAAAAGTGGTATTGTTGATTTAGAGGATTGACATTCAAGAATGATTTGTGAAATTAAGGGCAGGAAAATGAGGCCCAAGAGTTGACTAATGAGTACATATAGCAAACAAGTTACCAGTCCCTGTGAGTGTTATACTCAAAGATTTTATTGGATCTGATTTCACTTTTTTTGTTTCTGTACCAGGCTGGAGATAGCATGTTCAATCGTGCTAAGCTGCTCAATATTGGCTTTCAAGAAGCTTTAAAGGACTATAACTACAACTGCTTTGTGTTCAGTGATGTGGACCTCATCCCAATGGACGACCACAATGCCTACAGGTGTTTTTCACAGCCACGACATATTTCTGTTGCAATGGACAAGTTTGGATTTAGGTAAGAAATGTGTGACCACAGATTGTAATAGATGCATTACTCCTTTCCACATTGACTGGGAAATGCAGTTTCACTGCCCAGGAGTCACTCTCAGTGGTCTGAGAAGTCCACCTCTGAGAAACGGCTGCTTTTGACATCCAGAGTCAGTTATTCTTGGAGAAGGAAAGAAGAAATCTGAAATGCCTGTACTCTGCATAGTCACAAAAGAACTATTTTTAGTGTTCAGAACAGTTCTCATCTTTAGATTCCAAACAGTTGCATGATTTTCTTCCTGCTGTCCCCTGCCCCATGTAGTGTGGAAAGCAAATTACCCCCCCCCCCCAGTTCTTGAGGTTAGACCCCTCAGGAGATGTTCCTTGACAGTTTAAGAATCAGCAAGGAACATGATTCTCATTCCCAGCAGAGCATAACTTTCGGCTTAAATACAGAGCCCAAGCTTCTCCAGTGTGCCTTTGGTGAAGAGGCCATTGATGTCTGTCCCTAGGGTTGAAGATATAACTAAAGTACTGACATATAGGGACCATGGCCTTCGTCCACTGTTTTATCTTACCATGACCTTCTAGTCCATTGTTTCATCTTAGAAGTAAGTTAGATGGGGGACTAGCTTAGTAGTAGAGTGCTTGCCTAGCATATATAAGGATTTGGATTTGATCTCTAGCCTTACCCTGAAAAAAAAAAAAAAGGTTAAAAGTAAATAAATTATTGTGTTCTGTAATTTGTCCATGTTTGTATTCACACAAAAAGGTTGACAATTACAACCTATCTATTGAATAACACAGTTTTTCCCATCCTTGCTTTAAATAGGTTTCACTTGAAACTCCAAGTGATGCCATGCTGGGGTACCCTGTGTAACATGCAAACCTGGCTTAGGCTGAGTATCTAGTGTATTTGGTCTGTGTGGACAGCTGGCCTGTGCTGGCCTGTTGTATAGATATAGCTACTGTATAATCACTTTCTGAATTTTTTCTTCCTATCATCCATTGCTAGGGGCATGAGGGCTGTGAGATGAATAGGCTGCTATCTTAAAAAAGAGAAAATTTGAATGGAAAATCCCTTTTAGCCTCTTCAGAAATCTTAGCTCTTCCTTCCCTATGTATCTTCATCTCTTGGAAATACACAGGTTTGTACCCTGATCCCTCTTTTTCTCCTCTGTAGCATATAGTGAGCCAGGAGAGGGCCTAAGTGACCACACAATTTTTTACCCTAATGACATGTTTGGTTTACAGAGAACCAATCAGGTTTGGGGATGGGAGAGGTACACAAGTACAACCAGCAGACCACAAAGCCAGTCTCCTCGACTTAGCATGTGTTTACACTGAAGTGCCAAAGGATCCACATCTAAAAAATTGATTATCAAAACATCTTGTTGGTCTAACCACCTCTAGCTTAAACCCTAACATTAAAGGTGTAGGCAGTAGCATGAAGTATTACAAAGGGTGGGCCCTAACCAATGTCACCTAATTACAAACGTGCTACTTTAAACCTAATGAAAGCAGGCCCCTGGGGTTCTTTGCTTATCTATACTTTCAGTTAAATTCCTGATATACTTTAAAAGTATTGTGTCTTTAATTTCTTATGTTCTGTATGACTTGGTTGACTTCCCCCTCAAAGTCTCAGCTAGAGTTTAATTTATGGTGATGAGTTTTTGTTTCTTTGGAGTACAGTGAGAGCGTAAGTGTAGTTTGGAACTGCATTTAGGGTCAACACAAGACCAAAGAAGGCTCTGGAAAACCCACAGGAAGACTTCTGTATGGCCTCAGGGGCACATTCTAATTCTTGACATTTCTTATCAATGCTTCCTCTGTGTCCCTTAAGAGTCCACTATTCATAACCATTAAAATACTGAAATATAGGCTTTTTTACCAAGATGGCACCAAAGGCGAAGAAGGAAGCCCCTGCCCCTCCCAAAGCTGAAGCCAAAGCCCAAGCTTTGAAGGCCAAGAAGGCCAGCTGAAAGGCGTCCACAGCCACAAAAAGAAGACCCAAATGTCATCCACCTTCCGCTGTCCCAAGACCCTGCAGCTCTGGAAGAGCACCTCCAGGAGAAACAAGCTGGACCACTATGCCATCTTCAAGTTCCCCCTGATCACAGAGTGAGCCATGAAAAGATCAAGGACAACAACACACTCATGTTCCTTGTGGATGTCAAAGCCAATAAGCACCAAATCAAACAAGCTGTAAAGAAGCTCTATGACATCGATGTTGCCAAGGTCAATATCCTATTCAGGCTTGATGGAGAGAAGGCGCATGTTTGACTGGCTCCCAATTATAATGCATTGGATGTTTCCAACAAAATTGGGATCATCTATACTGAGTCCAGCTGGCTAATTCTAAACACATACTTTTTTATTCCCATTAAAAAAAAAAAAAAATACTGGGGCCAGGGAGATGGCTCCGTGGAATAAGTGCTTCCCTGGCAAGTGCAAGGGTCTGAGTTCAATCCCCGGTTCTGCCAAAACCAAAACAAAACAAAACCCCTAAAGTATAAAAAGGTAGGGAGGGATCAGAGCTTAGATATTTTGCTTCTTGGAAATATGTAAAAAACAGATTTATCATTGTGCCTTTTCCTACATCAGGATAAAGTAGAAATTTCAGAGGAAACTTTGTTATGTGCAAATTCTGAGAATTCTGCTTCAATTGTAAGGGTTAGTGTTCAAGCCAGTATACCCTTGGATGAATGAAAGCTAAATTGGTACTAAGACAGGATGAAAAGGAGGGCACCACAGAATGGGCAGTAGGAGACTAATGCATCTTAAATTTAGGACCTCCTTGAAAAGGTCATCCTTACAAGAATGGGGCACGTAGGAAGGAGATGGCTGAGTCCCAGTGGAAGAACGGGGCTTCTGCCCCTTCTTGTCACTGACATTTTCTAAATAGTCACAGAAACACACTTTATTTGGGGGATGTCAAAACTAACTAACCATGGGTCCTATATGTCTGTTTTTTTCCCCAGCCTACCTTATGTTCAGTATTTTGGAGGAGTCTCTGCTCTAAGTAAACGGCAGTTTCTTACCATCAATGGATTTCCTAATAATTACTGGGGCTGGGGAGGAGAAGATGATGACATCTTTAACAGGTAATAGCCAAAGTTTAGAACTGTTTCTTTCCTGTAGTCTTCACTCTCAGACTTTGAATCAGTGTGTGGTTATGTACAGTGATTGACTCTCAGGAGAATGCAGGTCCCACCCAGCCCAGATCCTTAGCTGTGTACTCTTGTAGGTCCAGTAGGTGCTGAGCTGGGTCTTTAGAAAAATTAGCTTCTGAGATTTTTGGATTAGCTTTGGAAAAATGTAAAGTGAAGACCGAGAGGAGGGTGAGCCTATTTTGATTTACCGCATGCCATTTTGTACTGAAGGAGTAAACCTACATCCTTCTTAAAACTTAAGTATCTTACTGTATTTTCCTTTCAGTGTGGAATGTTTCTTTGAACAGAATCCTATCCTTTTTTCATAGACTCTTTGTCCTATTTTTTTTGTTTTGGAGTATTTTTACCATACACAGAAGGTAGTTTGAGGAGCTTTTCTTGACACACTTGGTTTACAACTGTCATGGCGTGGCTAGTCTTGCTCTTCCATTTTCCAGGACTCTATTTATTTATTGCTCCAAATGCCTCAGGGCAGGTTTGGCTGGCTTGAGTTGTGGGGATCGAACCACAGCAACCTGAGCCTGACTGCTTTGTTGAAGCAGCCACTTAAAGAACTGAGCTAAGGGGCAGGGCCCCTCCAGGGCTCTTTTTAAGCAGGTAAATTTTTATCCTGTGGTTGTCATCACAAGTGGTAAAAGCCATCTATTAATAACATTTGGAACCGCATTCTGCTTAGTGTTGCCTGGCAGTGGAACCTTCAGTTCTGCCCCTGCAGATCAAAAACACCTTCTCCCTCTGGGAGAAGTCTGAAGTGTGTTTGATGCTGCAGTAGGCCCAGGTGCATCCTTCCTGCATTAGAGTACATTTATTTGATCAAGTAACAGAAGGTGTCTGTCAGAGCAAAACCCAAGTCATTTGAAGTTAGCATTGTATGAGAACTTGACTTAGGTCCAAGTCTTTAATATTGGCCTTGAAGAAAGCTTAATTATTAGATTATAAGACTGGTCATCAAGCATGCACGTATTGAGCATCCACTGTGCCCAACGGGCCCCTAAGGAGGATGCTGAAGCCCTGGAAACGGGGTCCAGACAGAAACAAACCCACTTGTACAGAGCCACACCTCTGTGAGCACTGTGGACTGCTGTAGTCATGTACACGTCTGATCAGATTCCACAGAGCTGAAGGATCAAGATGGTGGGGAGGGAAGGGGCCTTGAGAATCGATACACAGAGGTTGTGGGACTAGAAGGATGGGTGGTGTGTGGCTCAGCTATCATAATTGTATTATGTACCTCCTTTTAACTGTGTACCAGGCATAAGATCATCACTTGGGGGAAGGTAAGCCAGTAACCTTTATGTCGTCCCAGATCAGCCAGTAGTGCTTCTAACTTTGGTGTTTGTGCTGTCAAAGCTTTGATTTTGGTCCTCATTCCTTTCCCCTGGACCAACACAGAATCCCCTGTCCTATTCTGGCTGCCTCTTGTCTTGCTGTCTGCACTCCATTCCATTCTCAAATGGGGTACCAAAGATACTTCCACATGGCCAGAGTCATTTGGGAAACACTGCACATGATATCCTTCTATCCTTCTGATACTGGCATTGTTTCTTCATTTACTCTAAGAAGGCTTCATGGTTTAGCCTTTGCCTTTCTTTTCAGCTGCATCACCTGCCCCTTCCTACCCCTTGCCCTTACTCTCACCTCCTGTACCTTTGCATACACTGTCCTAGCTGCCCAAACTATTCTGGCATCCACCTGTTTGTCCTCATACCTTGGCTCTGCTCAGCCTTGATCCAGCTGGGTTTCTCTCTCTCTCTCTCTCTCTCTCTCTCTCTCTCTCTCTCTCTCTCTCTCTCTCT